CTGAACATGCAGTTTTGCACATAAACAAGGTGGAATTGCAGACAGAGGAATAATCTGCAGCCTGGGCAATGGACATCTGTGTATATGTATGCAGCATAGCACAGAGGAGATCAGAGGCCACATACAAGAAGTAAGATATCTTAATGGTTATGACACCTATCAACTGTATCTCTGAAGTGACACCATGGGCTGGAAAACCTATTGGTTTCTCAATGTGTCCAGTTTCTTTCTGCTTACGGCCCCAAATTAAATGAAACCAAAGATGCTACTACTAGTAGACAGAACGTTTGATTTCATTTAATTTGGGATCTATTGTTAGTATTATTGCAATGTTAGGGGAATAAATTCTGGCTGGGCTAGCTCAGACCCTCCTCTTTCGAAGAAATACATTTAATCGTAAGATCTCGGCCAACTGCCCTCTGTGCAGGCAGAAAACCCACCTGTAGTACTTTCTGAAAAATTGGTGTAAGTGAAGGCTCCACATTTGTGATGGCCCAGAGATAGATGCCTCTAAGCACTGCCGTGGCCCAGCGCAAGATAAGTCATTTAGGATGCACTCCTCTGAAAGGTGCTTGTGGGCTGTAGAGTAAGAAAAACCTACAGAAAGGCAATGACCCCTGTCGGTTGTTCTATTTTCTCCTTAGTGCTGTTAACACTGTTGTTTAATCAGTCTCACTAATGCTACTGCCCTCCATTGGGGCAAGTGTCAGAAGCTTAGTTAAAGCTGGAAAACCAGTAGGAAAAGCTGCTCAAATCGAGGCCATATACAGGGAAAGCTGGGACCTAAGTGCACAGATGTATTTCTTTGGAACAGACATAAATGCATGCTTGAGATACTGTTTTGGTGGAGCTTCATTTATAGAGGGGAAGAAGGAGCGTTTAGAGAAGATGGTAATGAAAGATGAAAAGCCAGCAAAGCACTTGCTACACTGACCTCAAAAAAACCCAACAAAAAACCCTCACCAAATTAAAAGGAAAAAGGAGTTCTCCCAGCTGAACACTGGAAAGAGGGAAAAGGCTACTCGGAACATTGAGCAAGGGAATATTCACACTATGATTTTTATCACATTCAGCCAAACTGGGCTTCGTGTATATTCTCAGCAGGTACTCATGACTGCACAGTATCATCAGTGCCTCCATGCGGCAGAAACAAACCTCCATGTGGCGGAAACAAGCTGCTCTGGTGAAAAGTAACAATATTTTGCAAAGTGCTCCTGGGTAGCAGTGAGCTTGCAGAACAGAAGTCTCCCCAGAGCTGCAGGGTCAGGAAACCTGACACACCCTCTTCTCGCTGAATTCACGGCTACTGTCACTAGCAAAACTGAACTGATTGGGAATCAAGAGCTTTTTTGCTCTTCCCAGACAGGGTATCCCATCAAGTGCATTTAGGACAGCCTGTGGTAGGCCCGTATATTCAGATTTCAGAGTTTCCATTCATTTGCTCCAGCATCTAAGATAACTTACGGATTCCAATAGCAAACTTGCCACAGAGAGAGTAATGAACTCTGGGCAGTTTTAATCACAAATTCAATTAATGTTAGGTTCCTAGCAGGCACATTTACCTCCTCCTTATAAAAATGCAGACAGTATTACTAGCAGAGAGATCTGTTTCCCCTCATGCATTTCCTCTAGCATGCAGTATGTCCCTAGAGACAGACAGTCACCAATATTTGCAAGCACCTCTCTGGGTTGCCATGCGGTGTTTTAGCAGAGGAATTCCAGAGGAATCCCAGCTGTGAGGCTGTGAATTCACACCTCAGCCCAGGTCAATCTGTGGTGCAAAACAGTACAGCTATTTCTTTAAAAACAAATGACATTGTAAACTACCTGAAGAGTGGGCACTTAATGATCCTCCCACAAAAATATCAACCAACTCCACTGTTCTTGGCCTCTAAGAAACAAGTATGTAACTTTTCCCAGGGCTTTTTTGGGTTTTTTTACAGGGATCACAGTACTTTGGGATCCTTTTGCTCTGCATAAATTTGCAGTGGATAAGAACATTTGCTCCACTTGCTGCAAGGTAACAGAAATCAGTTTATGAAGTTCAACAAAATGACATTCATAAACTGGTGACTTTTACTCACCCTGAACACATGGGCAGTCACAGTAACCCTGACATTTTTTTATGTTTATTTTTAAAAGGTCCTGTAAAGTTGAAACAGCAGCTTGGTACTTAAAGGATCTACTGATCTAAGTTGGTCCTGCTTTAAGCAGGCTGCTGGAGCACTCAACCAGAGCTCCCTTCCAGGCTTTATTATTGTATGAAGATCAAATCACAGACATCTCCACTATAAGGATACAGGAAGATTTATAGAACAGTCTGGCTCCCCATGACCTCTTTGCTACTATGATTGGAAAGGAAAGATGGCAGAAAGGAAGACAAAGGAAAAAGAAGTGAGGAAGACTTGCACCAGACTTTTCATATGAGAAAGGATGAATCTGAACTGTGCCAAAAGCCTAAGAACTCAGGTACTCACATGTAAGAAGGGATACAGACTATAAATGCCTAAACTAGCCTGGAAACCCCAAATATGAGGCACTGCACTCCAATAGTTCAGTTGGGCACCATCAGTTTGCTGGTACTTCCTATCCTGCATCTCAGTCTGGGCCAAGTGACACATAGACAGAGCGATGTTTCCTGGACTTTCTGAATTACTTTCATTTTTTTGTTCATATCTATTATTTCTAGAGAACACTAGAAACAACTAAATAACAGAATTTCCTCAGAAGCAATCAGGAAAACGGATGGTTCCCTGCAACCCTTCAGAAGCTCCAAGAACTCTCATCAGAAGCAATTTACAGGTTGTGTCCAAGAAAGCATTAATTTTGTTTGGGGTTTGCTGCAATCCATGATAATCAGTGCCCAGAAAAATAAAAACAGAGGAGGATGTTTGCACATCAAAGCCATGCAGTTTTATAAAGTATTGCAAACAACAGCATTTTACTCTGGACAGAGATGAAGGGTGCATTATTCTTCTGCCAGCAGCCAGCTTAGGAGAACATGCTCCCACTATCAGGAGTTCACACTGGCTAACTGAATGATGAGAGAAAGGGCATGAGGATTCCACCATTGTCATGCCACCTGCTGTGCTTCATACTCCTTCCTCCCTGTCATCCACTGCCCTGGGTAAACAGTCACTTGAAATTAAACCAGCAAGTGCTGCAGTGTACATATTGTCCTCAATGGGAAAATGAAAATGGGCTCAGATGTGGTATTCAAACAACAAAAATAATAGGCAGAGATCTACAAGAAGAGAGAGGAGTCAGCACAAGCTGCCCTCCCCACACCATACCCACCTACTCAGAGGGTGAGTAGATCTACTTTGCAAAGCACTCCATCTGTGAGTGATAGCAAAGAGCACCATCTGAAAAACAAAAAGAGCGCTGTCTACAGCGTCCTGAAAGTATGGTTTCTGTGAGCAATCTCAGTGTCAGGTGATGTTCTGGCATAGGATACCTAGCACACCTCAGTTTGAAAAGTGCTAACAAACCAAATTGAGGCTTTTTGAGGACCTCTATTGCCACGTGAACTGTCAGTGACACTCTACGTAATACTACCGTTAGAAGCAATTTTCAAGAGTAAAATCAGAAAGATCAGTAACACTGGTATAACCTGCACAGGTCCTTCGGTACACCCGTTTCCAGAAGAGTTGCAAACATACCCCTTCTGCAAAGCCATAACCTCCTTGCCTTTCAAGGTTGTACAGAACAGCACAGACCACACTCATCTTGAGACTGAATCATGGCAAATACAAGTTCAGGCAAGAACATTCTGCTTTTCAGTGCTAGGACCACAAGTAGTGCCCATTTAAATCCAGACATCAAGCTTATGTTCATGGCAGTAGAAAAAAGAGATCATCATAGAATTTTTGCTTTCCAAGACTGTTTTGCCCCAGCTTCACTGTCATGCAGAAAAATTAAATCCTTTGCTGAACTTATGGAACACAAATGACAGAACAGTTGCTATCCATGTAAAGACTCAAATGGAGCAAAAGTAGTGCAACCACATATGACCAATTAGGTCAATCTTGCATCTACCTGTACTTTACACTCTTTGTTCCCTCAGTGAGTGACAGCTGAAAATCCTAGACATCCAGGCTGACAAACCAGGTAATTCCACACTGCTTTACTCTCTAAGAAATGCCTTCTTGACAATAACTGCTTCCAAAATTCACCCCTGAAAACAGGATTGGTCTGAATATGGGACAGGCCTCGGTATAGAGCAATGTCCTGTTCTGGTGACATACCACACATACGAGGCCTCAGTGACCTACATTTTACAGATATATGCCAATACTTGAAACACTGCGTCATGGTTACACACTTTCCCTTCCTGCTGCAGTTTCCAAACCAGAGCCAGCCCCACTCCTGGCTCAGTACTGAGACCCTGTTCTGCCAAGGCGCAGGGCCGGCAGAGGGAGCGCAAGCCCATGCATCAGGTCTGCCTTCGGTGCTGCTGCAGCTCACTCATTTTGCCTTTCTCCTCGCACAGGACAGCTGACACTGCCAAATGACAACCACCACAGACAGCTGTTTCAAGTGAAGCCCAGAAAGAAAACAAAAAAAAGCACCTCTTTCAGTCTTTCAAATGGGAAGGAACAAAAAAACCCAAACCAAATCAAATGTTACCCTGGGGATAATGCAAAGCATTTTGCAAATATTTGAACATAACATAAAAAAAAAAGAAATAAAAAAATGGAGTGAGACCTGTCAGCATTTTTAAGAGTAGATAAATAGGATCATCTTTATCATTTATCCTTATTCCAGAAAACAGTCATCCCTCCATACACACATCTATGTCCTGTTTTAGATCCTTTCTAAAGGAATCTGACACCAAAGGATACTCATTAAAATAAATACCGAAAGAGCACAAGCACACCATTTACAAAACGGGTGGTGATATTTTGGTTTGTTTTTCTGACAAACAACAAGTAGTGTTTGATGGCCTCTCTCTTGAAGACAGAGCCCCAAAAGGAAAGGCAGAAGAGAACTGGACTCACCTCATCCAGTTTGCTTTGGTTTCATCTGTCCCATCAATGGATTTGTAGTGGTTGTTCTTATCAACAATCTATGGAACAAGAGAACAGATGCAGCACGTCAACCAACAGGTCCAGGCAGAAGAACGTATATGAATCTCAGATCACTGCTTCAGTTCCAGCCCTAAGTCAAGATGTGAAACTCTGTCATCAATCTCAGCTTTCCTGGTACTAACAGGTTGCTGACCTGAATGTGTGTGTGGAGGTTACTCTGAACTAAGAGGCATTTTTCTATGTACAGATATCTGTAACAAAACCATGGATGCAGCTGACAAAATTGCTAACAATCCCGAGAAATAAAAGATTAACTTCCCTTTCAGGATAGGGCTGAGATACATTTATTTTACAAATGGAGAAGTATGAGGAGCATTTAATATCAGCAGCTCTCAGTTTTCTCCCCACCTATAACTCAAATCCCACATTGCATTTCTCATAATAATTAACATCTGTTGATCCAGTGACAGGTCTATCTCATATGCTACCCAAGGCCTGTATGAGGGGAAAAAATACAGGGTTTGGTGCTGGAGTCTGCACGTAGATCAGTTCCTGATGGATTGGATCTCTTTTCTGCCCTCTTGGCCATCACCTCTGCTCAGGCAATCTGGGAGAGAGTGCTCTAGGCCCATGAGAGAGCTCTGCAATCTCTAGATAGAATCCTTCCTCTATCATCAAAATGATGACCAGAGCAGAGAAAGGTACTAGAGGACACCTAGACTGAGTGGGGATGGAAGAACACGGTTCTTGGCGAGAGAGAGAGCAGTAGCAAGTTGTTCTTCCTACAACTGTGAACTGAACTCAGGTGTCATGGCACCTGGTCTCCTTCCACATATCTATACCCTTAAGTTGCTAATATTTCTGGTAGGTTGATGGTTGCATCATGCACATGTGGGTCAGCAGAAGACCTTCAGAGAAGGGGGAAGATGGCTAAGGTTTGGCACCACAAGCCCATAACTCCCCCAGCTCTGAGCTGTATGGCTGAGGTGTCACTTAGCTGGGGAGACTCGTCACTCACCAGCCACGAGAAGAATCCTGCAGACCTGTCCTGGCTAGAGATCTGCCCTTCGTACGGCCCGAAGATGTGACCTTTGGGGATCACCTCATTCATACAGCGCACATCGTTCTCCCCACTGGGCTCTTTAACCACCTCCATTCCAGGAGGGATGGTCAGCGCTGCCCGGTCAGGAATGCCAACAGGCACTGGCGTGTCAGACACAAACACTGGGGGGCCATGGTTCGGACACTCATCCACGAAGTACTCCTGGCAGGACTCGCAGACTGCAGATGCAAAGGGAACCAGGGTTAGGTTGGGCACACGTGATGTCTGTGCAGTTCATGCAATGCACAGGATGCACAGTGCTCAGGCCAGCTCCCTGTCCTTCCCCCTGCCAAGCTGAGCCCCCTCCACAGTATCCAGCCTCCACACATGCAATCACTTCACTGGCTGCTCCCTTGTTTCTCCACATCTCTTAGCAAGGGCTCTGCCCCAACCCACATCTGCCTAACTAACACATGCATTTGCATAAATCTTGATGCTCTACACACATTTGCCACTGATGGCTGCATGCACAGGGAAAGGCCCCGTCACTGCCTGCAGAGACAGAGGCTGGAGGTTCCTGCACATCCTTGGTCTAGCAGCTAAGTCCTCCAACCAAGATTTGATTCCCCACACGCCAAAGAGGGAGCTAAAACAAACATCCCTCATACTACAGCCTTCATTCTGTGCTTGGGAGAGAGACAGCATCCCCAGGCACTTTCCCTGTGTCCAGACAGGGATGCAGGTCTGCTTTTTTGTAGGTATGCATAAGTGGCAGCAGTTTTCTTTTCCAGACTATAGGGGAAAGAGTTGTTGTTTGCGCAGTGCTCCCTTTGCAGTCTGTGAATTCAAGTCTTCAGTTTTTGTAGACTCTCAGGATTTTCCAGTGTGTATTTTCATGTTTCCAGCTTACTTTCCACCTAGTTCCCTACCTCTGCATAACCCCTTCACAGACAAGCTGATTTTGTGCAACAGTTTCTCTTTTAAATGTGCCGGTCTTTGCAGGAGAGCATGTAAATTTGTCCCTGGCTTCTTTTTCCCCTGCTTCTTGCCCCAAACCAGTAGGGTACCAGCAGGGACAGACCAAAGTCTGTACAAGCAGCAGTGGTGCTTTTCCCTCACTCACAATATACTTACACCAGAAATCCACTTGCTGAAAGCTCTTGGTCATGACTAAATCCCGTTTCCCTTTCAGTTTCTTGGGCTCCATCTCTATGGACTGTGGGTCAGGCCTTCCAGAGCTGAGGAGGAAACAACAGAAAGATGATGTTAACCTACCAAGACATTGGGACTGCACACAGAGAGGAGCTGAGGCAATGGGGCCTGACAAACTTCTTTAGTCCTAAAACTGCAGCAGAGAAATAATTCAACTTGCCATCCAACCTGCCAAAAGCTAGTATCTGAGATGGCTTAAGGTTAAAGCCACTACACAGCAGGTAGTGGCTTCATCTAGAGTAGGTGCACTAGTAGGTGACCACCCTTGTCAAACACTCCAAGGCTGACCTCACAAGGGAGGGCTTTACTAACTTCAAGAAGTTCAAGTATATTCCCCAAAACCAGCTGGGGGGTAGGTGGAGAGAAGGAGTACATCAGTCTGAAGCTCAGCCACGTACCAAGGCTGTCCATACTCCTGGTCCCGGCAAGGAGAGCAGGCCTCTGTTTTTATCGTCACCATCTCACCTAAGGAAGCTTGAGTCTGGATCAAACAGTCCTTCAAGTTCTCACTCATGTTCTGAAAGGGAATGAAGGAAGGGAGGAGAAGTATGAGCATCAGGAAATCACAAGCTTCCTCTCCCAGGCCAGGATACAGCCAGCAGAGCAGGCTCCCTCCTGGCACCAAGAGCTGCCATCACACACTGGAGCACCTACACATGCATGTAGGTGGAAAAGTCTTCCAGGGCTGGGGAGGGAAAAGCAGTTCAGCTCTAGGTCAGATGAAGAGCATGAAACACCACAGAGCAACCTGAGGCATGGAGAATCTGAAGTATGCTTCACAGTGCCCATTAAAAATGTTGCATATGGAATTTAAGACTGATGGGTGTGATATGTTATGGGAACATGGAGCACCACTACCTCAGAGCATGTCTTTGGGGACAGAATGACAATAAAGAGGAATACAGATTGTGGCACTGAACCAGGATCTGTCTACGGACATAATGCCAGTTTCCATCTGGGAACAGACTGGAGTGTACTACACCCCTGTGGATGGAGCTTTCCATGTGCTCTAGACACCCCTAACAAACAGGTAAGTGCCTACAGTGCCCTTCAGGATTCCACCAAGATTGCACAAATTATGGTCTCAATCTTCCTGTCCTTTGCAAGGTCCAGAACTGAGCCACCCCTCTGGCACATGAGTCTGCTGCAGTGAAAATGCCTCTCCCTTTGCTCAACACAAGAGCCAGGAGCCACTTCACAGAATCACAGAATCAACAGTCACTTAATGATGTCTAAGGACAGCAAACTCCAAAATGATAACACTTCCCTCCTCATCCCATCATGGGGTGGTGCTGAAGAGAAAATATAGATGTGTCAAGTGATGATAATTCGGAATGGGTTTAATTTAGATTTTTGGAAGGGCCACTAAGCTTAAGAGCATCCCAGCTTGAGAAGAGCAATAAAGCTGAGTGCTGGTCACTTCATTGCATTCATCTTAAGATTTCCTCCAAAGCACATGAACTGGCTGCTCTCAAGTACCATACCAGATCAGACAGATTTCACACTGCTCCCCGCCAAGCCCCCTGGGATCGCCCTTTCCACGTCCACTGCTGGATAACATGTTTTGTTATGCTGCACACCTGCAGTGCTGCTGGAAGGGCACACGTCAATGTGCACCCTGAAAGACATTTATCAGGGCTGTATCAAGGAGCATTACTTAATATTCATATAGTGGTCTGAAAGCAAAGCCTCAGCGTAAGTACAACTAGACACAGGTAAACACATGCACTTTTAAGCCTGTACAGGATGCCAAAAACAAAACACATTTTCTTTCAGAATTACCACCACCATTCAGAAGGAAAGCGATACTAAGGGCAAAGAGGGGCTCATTATTTTGGCAAGCTGAGTCCCTTGTCTGTGCTCTCTGGAGCAAGAGGGAAGCTCTCCAGTCCTGAGCCTATGCACCAGCTGGTGGTGCAGGTAGGGCCTACTTGCCCTTCCCAAAGGAGAAGGAGAAGTCTTTTCTGGAAAGTCTGCAGTAAAGGAGCTGAAGAGGGAAAAAGCTTGGGGAGGGGGAAAATGTTAAAAGACAAGACGAGACAGGTGCCCCAGAGCTAGTTAGCTGTGGGGCCTATACTGGCACAGGAAAGGTGGATGCTGGCTGCAGGGCAGATGCTCTCAGTCAGAACAACCAACTACTTCCATTTTGGACACCTGGAAGACAGGACACCTGGAGTTAAAACATCCATATCCCCCAAGGCTTCAGTAGGAAAAGTTACAGACATCTGTCTCTGAAGATAAAGTGGTTTTTCCTTTCCCACTCTTGCCTCATGGAGACTTACAGAGCAAGAGAAACCCTGTGACGACACAGTCTGACCTTCTGCCAAGGCAGGTCACTGTGCTTCCTTCAGTGAACTTCAGGCTAAATTACAGCATACCTCCAAACAAGGGGGAAAAAAAAGGGAAGAAACACAGTGTTTATTTTACACACAAAGCTCCCTATTTTACTGTATGGCACATTTTGCAGCCCTCCCTTCTCATGGTGCCCCCTGAACTCCCTCTAACTTATCAGCAACATTCCTGTGCAGCACTGGCCCCAGCACTCCTGTGCTGGCAGGAGCAGCACCTTGCACCAAGATAACACCCTCCCTGGCCCTGCTCTGGATATCCATGCTTGTGTCCAAGTAATGCACTTACTTTCTGCCAACTGTGCCCAAGTCGGGTTCTGTTTCTGGCGAGCTGCTGTGCTGCTGTAAGAGCTCTCACTCCTGCGACAGCTCCCAGGCCACCATGCATCCTGTCAGCCTTCCCACCTGCTCTGAGACTAGGTGACTGCTTTAAGGCTTTCACATACCTCCTCATTGTCTCACTCAGCACACATTCAATCCCAACTCCACCACTGACTCACCTCTTTTCATTACTTGCAACTTGCCCAGACTTTATGTTGTCCACAAACATAACCCAATTTGATGGGTTTTCTTCCAGGACACCAACAAACTTAAAATCAAAGGATCATTTTGGCTGCAAATGACCTCCACGATCATCGAGTCCAATGTAAATCTAGCACTGCCAAGTCCATCACTAAATCACAGAATCATTTAGGCTGGAAACAACCTTTAAAATCATCAAATCCAACCATAAACTTAGTATTGCCAAGTCCACCAATAAACCACATCCTTAAGTGCCACAGTTACGTGTCTTTTAAACATCTTCCAGCAAAGGAGACTTAGCCACTTCGCTGGGCAATTTCTTCCAATGTTTGATAACTCTTTCAGTGAGGAAATTTTTCCTAATATCCAATCTAAAACACCTCTGGTGCAACTTGAAGGCATTTCCTCACATCCTATCACTTGTTAAATGAGAGAAGAGACCCACTCCTGCCATTTGATTAGCATCAAGCCAAAAAAACTATTCCCAGCTGACACTACTACAATTATCAGCAATGGCTCTCCTTCTGTTGTCACAAAAAAATGTGACCTTTTATTTAGTCAGGTTTTCCTTTATGCATTGAATCATAGAATGACTTGGGCTGAAAAGGACTTAAAGATCATCTAGTTCCAATCCCACTGCCATAGGCAGGAACACCTTCCACTAGACGAGGCTGCTCAAAACCCCATCCAATCTGGCCTTGAATATTTCCAGTGATGGGGCAGCCACAGTTTCTCTGAGCAACCTGTTCCAGTGTCTCACCATCCTCACAGTAAAGAATTTCTCCCTAATATCTAATCTAAATCTATCCTCTTCCAGTTTAAAGCCATTCCCCCTTGTTCTGTTCCTACAGGCCCCTCTAAAAAGTTTGTCCCCAGCCTTCTTACAAGTCTCCTTCAAGTTCTGAAAGGCAACAATAGGGTTTCCCCAGAGTCTTCTCTCCTCCAGGCTGAACAACCCCAACTCTCTCAGCCTGTCTTCACAGGAGGTTCTCCAGCCCTCTGATCTTCACAGTCCTCCTCTGGACTCACTCCAACAGTGTGTGTGTAACACACTGAATCATCCTACCTGTTTATTCCCATGACCTGTGGCACAACTTTACTGCAATAAACATGCAAGACATACCAACAGTTTTACCTCTATCAAGTAAAATTACAGCAACACCAGAAAATCCCACTGTTAGAAAAGAATGATTTTTTAAAAATCAGTATAGACTGAATATTACAATTAACACCCCCTCAAATCATGAACAAAACAATACATATCAGCTATTACATTATTTTACTGGAAGCAAACATCAGACTGCAGTTAGTGTTCTAGCTGGCCCAATTAAACTTGAAATTGGCTTACTTCCTTATGAGTAACACACAACATTTTTTCAGTCTAAGTCATTATGTATGCTTTTTTAAAAAAAAATTATTTTTAAATTAGCATTTATGACCCAGAGAGCGCTGCTCAGCCAGCCCTTTTAGAATCCCTGAAAGCAAGTTAGTCAGAACAGCAAACTTTAAAAAGTACTGCTCTAGTAGCTGCTATTTGGTAATTTCCCAAGCTACTGCTACAACAGAGAGCATTACGCTGCTGCTGTAACTGGTACCATCTTCTAGCTTTTCTGCCAGAAAAGAAACACATGAGATTTCTCCAGTTCCAGACCTCAGCAGATGACTGTGCTTTTAGGACTCTTTTATCTTCTGATTTATTTAAAGCGGTGTTTAATTTTTCCTAATTTCACTGCCCATTAGTTTCTCTTTCTTGCCCTTTCTCCTCCCCCTTTAGTTTTCCACAGCTACAAGAGTTCACATTCTGCAGTTTTCACTCCCTCCACTTCATTGTTGTGGGGTTTTATTGACAATTTTTATAGTTGTGTTTGTTTTAGCACCTAAATATGAAGAGGCTCTGAAGATTTCAGGTGATGTCAAGAAGCATAAGGAGAGCAGGCTCCTTGGTTACTGCTGAAGGTATTCCCAGGGGGTACTTGGCCTCCCATGTGTATGTTCCTGTGCCCACCAGGACGTTCAGCCTACAAATGTCAATGTGCACACAGCCTACTGTAAAGTCCTAGCAGCATGTCAGAGAGGACAATCCCCAGGTGAGAGAGATGCTGTGACGTTCAGGTGCTGTTTGCACACATCAAGCTCTTTGGACAGCAAAGGCAGTTGTGGTATGAAGCACAATGGTCCTCAGTGGGCCCAGGACACCAGTGTGACTGCTACAAATCCCAAGAGGCATCCCTGGGTTGTCCCCAGATTCACAGGCACTGCCACATAACCTCTCCTGTTTTCTTCAAAAGTAGGCGAGGACCTGTCACATTTCTGCATGACACAGGTTAAGATTCCCAGTGATTTCACCATATTGCTCAAAATCAGGGAAGTAGAAAACACAAGAACATCTGAGTTGTTAATCTCTAATGCAGGAAAAAACCTCCAAATGGGGTTAAACATGAACAAACCTGTGAATTCCTGTCCTCGAGTATGCTGCCTTTATCACTGCCCCTCTTGTAGTTATTAGTTAACAGTCACAGACTCTTATCTGCGTGGATCAGCCTCCAAAACAGAGCTTTAATTTTACATTTTACTGGCAGGTTTCCCAGACTGGGACATTCTTGCATGTGAAACAGTCATATAGGAATCCGTCCCCTTCTCAGCA